GCCAAAGGCAAAATTGAGTTATCTACAATAAAGGATATATATAATTATATATATATATATATATATATATATATACTGAGAGGGGGGAGAGACATACAGATACAGATAGTTAGACAATAAGACGAAAGAAAAGAGAATTATATCCAAGTTTGTTATTGGAAAGAGGAGGGAGTATTCTTTCGTCCCAGATTTAAAAGGGTAAAATTGTATGTGCAACGTGGTATTAACATAAATCAATTCGCGCATTGAATTGTCTTCTGATTAAAAGTATGGAATGTGAAGTAAAAGTTATAAATTTCTAGTTGTACTGATTCCGTTAAATTACAAAGAAATGATGTTTTCATTATTTTACACTATGAAATTCCAATTATCTCATTACAATAAAAAATTTTATAATTATTTTATATTTTAAAGCATTTATTAAATTTTTGAAATTAAGACATTAAATTAAATTATAATATAATATTATAAATCCATAGTATTCAAACAAAATTGCTAATTACAATATTTATATATTAAAGTAAATGTAGATTGCAGTAAACATATAAGTTTTTATAAATTTTGAATAACTATTGTTCATAAATCAACATTGATTTATTAATAAAATGTTAAAATATAAATTCAGAACATTTTTAATACTTATTGGAAAGTTGTGATAAACTGAATGAATATTATTGTTTTAACATTATTGTTGATGGTAATATTGTCATAAAAAAGTAGACGTGTAAATAGTTTGAAATATTTTTTGCATTTTTTATTTAATATAATCCCATATGAAACAGTTTACAAAGTAAATGTAATATTGTAAACAAATTATAAATCTGTACCTTATTAAAAATATAAATATATAATTGTTATTATCGTATTTAATAAAATAAAAATTATATATGTTAATATAATAAATATACTTATTTAGAATAGTTTTAACGTATATTGGAAAAAAAGATATAAACATAAACAAATATTTATATATATAGATATAGATTATATCTATAAATCTGAAATGAAATACGTGTATTATTTGTAGCTCTTTTGTATTTTGATAATTAGTTATTAATTTATTTTATCATTATCTCTTTATTTTGAAATATTGAACGTAGGATGAAATATTAAAGTGACAAAAAAGAGGTTAATTACATAGAAAAAGATATTGTAAATAAAGCATATAAGAGTTAATATTTGAATCAAAAGAAAAATATATCTTCTATAATAAGTTTTTTCACTTCTAGTTTGCATTGCTATATAATCAAATTATAATATTAAATTATCTATCTTGTAAATCTTTGAACTTTATATAAAGAATTTAAAGTTAAATATTATATGAGTACAATCTGCGAAGTAATCATAGGGATTTTCTTACTTAAGTAACTCCCGTTTCTATATACAGTTTCCTTTAAAATTTTAAATTTTTACACCAAAATCTTCTCTATTATGTGTTTTATTTACACGGAATACAGTTTTCAATTACATTATCTACTACGAGAGATATTTTACGTATTTTTAGGTATTTTTATTTTCTCAAAATTTTTCTATTTCTAATAAAACATATTTTTTATAAAAAGACACGGATTACAGTTTAGAAAATTGTTTATTATAGGTATTTTTATATGCATATATAAGCAAAAATATAAATATTATATTACAAGAAGTTTTACACATTTTTAAGTAAAAAATTTTAGATTCCTTTAATACATTAAAAATTAATAAATTATTTAAAACTCGTGTTTTTACCTACTTAAACCAAATTTTGATAGATTTACATAATTAAAATAAAATTTTTTTAATCAAGGATAAGATTATCAGTATTAAAACTCAAATTAAATTATAATTAATAGGCACAAAATACAAACAAAATAATATTTTTAAAAATAATATTCTTTTTCAGTATATATTTATAATTTTGAAATATTAAATATCGTAAAGCATGACAATAGTATTTGAAACATAAATATTTTAATTATACTTATACACTTTTAGCTTTCTAATTTAGCTTTAATAATAACTGCTATATTTATGTGTAATTTAATTTTATTTGATTAACATATAAATTATTTATTATTTTATAATTAAAATTATTTTAAATCCTAGTTTTAAATTTTTAAAATAATTAACACTTATACTATCTTTAACAATAATACGAAAGATGAAAATTTCGAATTATAAATAGCATTATGTCATATAGACAAATACGTGGTATTAGGATGGATTGCACAACTTATTTTACTTTATAAAAAATACGATGCAAAAAAAAATAAGAGGGAATTGTACACAAATAAAATACAATCTATTACAACAATAATTCTGAATAAATGTAATCAAAAACAAATAAAGGAGACGGATTAGTCGTTAACTCATATGACTCATGAATACGATAACTATTCAATCATCAACGTTACTGCCACACCATCACCATCAACCAAAATTTTTAATAAGTAGTTAGTGTGGAGAGAAGTTCAACAATTATCAAACAATGCTCAACCGAGCCTGAGAAATTTCGAATTCAGTAATGTTGAAGGAAGAATGCCCCGAAGCACTACAAACACTTACCACGCCTATTGTAAGATTTAGCAAGAAGAATCTATAAAGAAATCGTAAAAACTCATACATGGTAAAGTTCTATCAATACATGCAGTATATCTATATATACAGATCATATTTTGTCGTGACACATACACGTATGCATACATACAAACACACATACAAATATATATATATATATATATATATATATATATATGCAAACATGGATGTAATACGTATAATAATATGTATAAACTCAAATAATTTAAGTCAACCTTATCGCGACATTAGTAGAATATAATATACCATATATAATTCAAATAAATATAAATTTTTTTATTAAAAGTCTTCGTTATCAAAGTGGAAAATAATATTTTATTTAATAGTTTACAATTGATAAAAGTTGTCTGTGAAAAGTATAAAAGAAAGAAAATATTTTATACGATTTAAAATACACGATATAAAAAAAAGATTCAAAAGAGTACACTATGAGTGATTGCATATTAATAAAATTATAATAATACATTTTTTCTAATATTATCATACACTTATTTCAAATATTTGTATGATTATTAATTATTTGTATGTAATTGAATGGTATACTCGATGCGATATGATTTGAATTTGAATTAATACGATCTTCTTTAAAATTTATTTTCAATTATATTCATTTCTTTATATATCAAATTAAATTCAACTTATTTAACAAAGATAAAAACAAATATTTTAATTATCTAATCCATTGAACATCCTAAATTGTACTTATAACAAACTAATTATACTCGTAAAGGGTATTTAGATATACTTAACAGTAAAATAAAATAATACTTAATATGTATTTTATGTAAATAAAACTTAATATAATATCTATTATCAGTTAGAAAATTAAGAATTCTATGAGAAACTGATGATTTTTTTTCCTATTTTAATAGTTAAGAGATGTAAGAATATTTATCGACAATTGAATAAATATTTTTTGCAAAATACTGTTTACATATATTAGCAGCCTATCAATATTATAACAGGATATTAATAACTACAATAACTTAAAAAATTAAAAAATGTTCAGATAACGAAACTAATGGTAATGAACTGTCTTTAAAATATTTTTTGAAGTTACAATTTTCAATATTGCTATTCTACTAAAATCAAAAAATCAAACTTAAAAAACTAAAAAAATCAAACTTAAAGAAATCAAAAAATCAAAAAATATTCTTATATTACATTTCATTCAATTACATTCCTAAACAATCTTGAATTAAATAAATTGTCAGTAAGCTTAACACATACGAAAACTGTCATTTTTAAAAACAGAATTTGATTATATTGAATCATATCGATATTCTTCGTAAAAGTGAGAAAATGAAAATTGTTATTAAATTTGATGAAATGTTCTTCATAATTTTAATTATAAAAATAAATTTTTAATCTCTTTAATAATTGCTAAATAGACATATATTATTATAATACGAACTATGTTTTATGAACTATGATTTTTATGTATGATTCGTCGGATTTTTAATAAATATATTATAATGAATGCCAAAATTGTAATAGCATTTTATCGGCCTCATTTATAATATAATTAAATAAATACTATGAGTATTTTATTATTCTTTCAGCTACTGTGCATCTTTTTATATGAATTTTTGTTTATAAATTAAATTGTTATATATTAAAAGATACAATAATTAGTTTATAGCTAGTCTATTAAATCAGCCACGATTTAATTTGATATAAAACGATTTATATTTCTTAAGAACTTTAAAATAACATACTTTTTGTCTATATTTATATACAATCTATTACTTAATACTTTGATATTTACATTTGATTTTCATTGAACTAAAGAGAATTACAAGGGAAAATGCAGATTAATATAAAATTCTCTAGTAATCGAGATATAAAACACTACAATTAAACATTTTATGTGAAAAAATATTTTTAAAACCAGAAAACAATATAATTTGTTTACACAAAATATAAGTATTAAAAGTATACAATATAATATATTCGTTACAATTTTTAGGTTATTTAAGTGTTAGTCATTCTGAAATCTAAGTTTAAAATATTAGTAACAAAATTATTTTGTTCTATAGTTCTGATGCAATTCTATTTATATATACATATTTAAATATTTATATTCTATGTTTTAATAACCATTCAAAATATAAAACAGTATTGATTATCCATTTTTATTTTGAAACTGTTTATTATACAATTTGAAAATCTTTCAAACAAAATTCTTTTCGCTACATTTCTGTTTTCAGAAAATTTCAAAACTTGATTACTAACATACCTGAATATTTAATTATATTTTTGACAAATGCTTATTGGTTAAAAAAACAAAAGTATCCAAAACCATTTTTTTTTAATGTAACAAAGAATTTTATAAAATTAAAATATTATCGTTAACATGTTACAAGCATAAATATAAATGTTGAAGCATACGGTAATAAAGGCAAATAACAATATCTTACCTGGGTATCAACTTGTCCTCAAGCATGCTAGGTAAATCATCAACGTCCTCATTGAGAACAGCGAAAAAATCCTGAAACTTATCGGGAAAATTACTCGGCGGACACGTAGATCCGCTGCTCGAAGGCATAATCGGTGACTTTTCCGGCTGTTGAATGCCGGCTGATCTAACAGCAGCGGTAGCAGCAGCAGCTGGTGCATTACTATGATCATGACTATTATGCCAGGATACCGTCGACATCGTCGCCATCGTCATAAACTTACAGCTCTAATGGTCAATTAGTGCCCATTTAATCATATCCCTTTTAGATTCTTCGTTTTCAATATACTTTTATTCCTTCACTCCTTATATGTTTCGTTTTATAAGCATACCCGAATCTGTAAAATACACAAGATTTTTATTTCAATTAAATTTCAGCCATTAAATAAGAAAGACTTACATATGAATTTTATCTCTTTTCTTTTTAAATAAAATTTCGTCGATTAAATTAAATTAAATTTATAAATTAATGATAATTTTCTATTAAAAATTTTTAAAATCCAAATTTATTATCTTATTTTAAATTATTGTACATATTATACGAAATTAAATGGCAATAACAACTATAAATTAATTTATAACCAAATTAATATATCCATTTACAGAAAAGATGTCTTCTGGCATATAATTTCACTATACATTCGCTATAAAAAATTGATTACTCATATTTTAAAAAAAAAAAACTTTAATTAATTAGATTCATTGTTAATGCATGGCCCATTATTTTATAAAAATATATTAAATTGAAGTATTGTGTAGAGTATCTGAAAGTCTTATATTAGTATTTATTGTTTGATATTTCTTTAATTCTTTTTGTAATAATTTGAGATAATATTAGAGGCTTTTGTTTAAAAATACTTAAATAAAAATAAATTGAGGATACTCTAACAATTATATCAGTTTACTTATATATTCAATAAGTGTTTAAATCTTTCTTTAAAAGAAATTTATTATGAAATTAAATTGATATTTAAATAAATAATTTTTAATGAGATTGTAACCATAATCTTTTTCATTGAAAAAAAAAACTACTAATGCTACAGTTCTGTTAATTATATTATTTCAAAAGCATTACATATCACAATATTGTAAATTACATTGTTGATGACGATATTAATATTACAAATGATATAAGTATTACTTTGTTACATTTTCTTTACTTAAATGTAAATGTAAAATTTGTCATTTTATGTTGTTTAAGCATATTCACAAGCATAATTATATATATATAGAAACGCGCATATATGCCTAATATAGAAGACTAATTGATTAGTAATATACGTGTCGCGTAACTCCATTAAAAGAATCCAATGTTGCACTCAGAAATCAGTTCTCATCTAAGTAAAAATTTTAAGACGAAATACTAATAAATATATTTTAATAATCATTGATAGGAAAATGCAATTATAATCAGGCCTTCTACACTTTCTCGATCAAATTTAATCGCTTATTGACAATTCCACTTAACTTCATTGATACTGTGATATTTACACGAAATTATTTTATTATTCTTTACCGTTACAGTAACTATTATCTTATTATATGCTTTTGAAGTATATGTAATATGTAAAGATATATTGTAACAGAGAATATAGAAATGTCTTTACTACTTTCTGCATTATTAATAATAATATCTAGTTCTACTTCATGATTCTATATTAATGACTAATATAAATAATTAATTTTCAAACCTATGCGCTATTAATAAAAATATGTATTTTTTATTCTTTTTTTTTTAAGAATAACATAAAATAAATTATATTAGGATATATTTATTGGCCATTATATTAAGCATAAAATAAAATGACTGTAATAAGATTCAAAACATATATCTTAATTACAAATCTACAACATAATCTTACAAATATCTTAACCTAATTATAAATATATTTTATTAAATTATATTATATAATAAATATATTAAAGTTACGATTTTTCTATAAAAAGTTATTATTTATTTATTTGAATATTACTGTTTCATTAGGCTCTTTCTATCTCTATAATTAGTTATAATAATTATTAAAGGTCATTAATCGTTTAATATTTGTTAATCAATCTATTATTGTAAATATTTTGGTCGGTATATAATATATAAATAATGCATTTACATTTATTCAAACAAAAGTATCATAAAATAAATTAATATTGTTAAAATATAACATAAAATTATCAGCATTTTAAAGAAACCCGTTATTACTTTAGCTATTGCGTGAAAAAGAAGTTGGGTTGGTTCCAATGAGAGCATTAATCGTTAAAGCATTATAATTTAACAAAGTACGTTATATTATGTTTGTTTTCATAATGAAAAAAGAAGATAAATAATATTTATTATCAGTACATCCGGCGAATGAATGAATTTGTCTTGCAGTAGAAATTTTAGTTTTGAGAACTTTAACGCATTTTCTCAGCAGAACAATTAACAGTACCATTGAAAAAGCCTTAATTATATTTCCCTTTTTATAAAGGAGCATGATTAACGGAATTCTGTCCATATTGGGCATAAGCCTTGCTTTTCAAAAAACCGTCTGATCCATGAAACACACAGACGCACGTAACTATACGTAAACGCGAATTATTTACCAGATGCACAGCTTGCATGCCTCGTGTTAAAAGTGTTGAGTCCGCGTGACAAATTTCCTCTCTCCCGCTCCAACTCCCTTTCCCTGTCACCCCCAGGATTTCTAATAGTTGGCCGATGTCGAAAGGTAAAGACGCAGGGCTCGCGTTAAGCTCGTACGAATTGGAACTCTGCTGAGAATGAAGAAGCAGACAATAGAAACACGGCCGACGAGCGCCTGGAGGCAACCTGAAGCTCTACCAATGTTGAGAGCTTGATGAAAACTGCTGGCATGGCTCGTAAGCCACAATTCACGAGCGTCATTGGCCTATCTCTGTCTCTTCCTCGGCTTCCCTCCCACTACGGTATCGCGACGCGCGCAACCCCCGAGGAAAACTGCGGCTGAACTCTCATTAGACCTTCTCGGACTCCTAAAAGAAGTGCATTTAACGGTCTTCAATTTCTTCTTGAAAGCTACGTTTCCATTTTATTATCTACCATCTAGCTTATTAAATGCAACGAAATAGTAACCAGAATGGTTGATACTTCCTCTAATTTCAATGAAAACGCACTCATTTGCTTCCAAGCGAAATCAGTCGCTTGCCTTATGTAAAAACATAACTATTGGCAAACTTTGCGCAATGAATTAACTGTCAAGAAATACTTCCTTCGAAGGTATATTTTTATTTTTTTCCCTTTTGTAATTGTATTTTCTTCTCAGTATATTACCTACTTTATTTTCCTTATCAATCTGAAATACTCGAGAAAACTAGTTAAAATTTTTTTCAAGCAATATTAACATCATAATGAAACATAAAAATTATGTGTTATTTCTTTTATAGTTTTAATTTTTTCAACATTATTCTAGCATAATTGAACAAATTATTTTCATCCCTTTTTTTAGCTTCGTATCATTGCATTCATGATTTTATATAAAATGAACACCATTCATAAATTTCTTGACTTAACAATTCGTATAATTTGATTGACACGCCATTAATGAATTATTCATAAAGCTTCTTATTTTAATTAATTTGAATATATCATATAACTTTCAAATAATTAAGAAAAATAATTATTTAAGCCAGTGGACCGATTAATAACACTATCCACAAATTAAGATTATTCGCAAATATTCTAAATTAAAACCAATTAAAAAACGTATCTTATTACATAAATCTGGTATGAACTATCTTCATTGAAGGTACACTCGAATTTATTTTAAAAATATTTGTAAAATGAAAAAATGCACGAGTCCGGAGTTAATAATATTTTTTTTATTAAATATCGAATTAAAATTTTTTTTAATTTCTATTTTTCAATTTCGAATATATTATTAAATATCTGCTTGCATATGCTATACTAAAAATTTCTATGTAATAATACTTAGGAAATTTAATTAAATAATTGCACTAACCAGTATATAAAGTTATTAAATGTTTAAAATATTTAAAGAACTATGTTCTGCTTAATTATTAGTTAAAAACATTATTATATATGTATATTAATTTTAGTATATTCAACTAATATCATATCCAATGAATACATTTTATATCTATTTAACTTAAAAACTTTTATTATAAAATATTATTCACCATAATCCGTTAAATTTTCAGTTGTATTTTAATATTTATTCAATATTGTTGCATTAAAAATTGTAATTAAAATAGTTTTAATAAAATAATAGATTAATATTAAAATATAAATTTGTAATATAAATAAATTTTTTAAAAGTAAGGACTTTCTTAATAAAGAAAAGGTTGTATATATATAGATCGAATTAATAGTATAGAATTAATAATATAGAAATTATATGTATTTGTTTCTTATATATTTATAGCTTTTAAAAAATTATTTTTGCTTGATATAAAATTACTTCCAATGTTTTAGTTTTGAAAATAAATGAAAATATAATGAGATTTAAGGCGCCATATAATCGAAAATTATATGGTGCGTACAAAACTTCAATTGTTCTAGATCAATTAATATTCTTGTATAATAAATTTTAATTTTAATTTATGAAATTCTTATAATTCTCAGTTAAAATATTAATTTTATACTATATCATTAAAACTTAGCTATTAAATATTTGAATGATTTTTATGTGCAAGATTATTATAAATATAATGGGTGTTAATGTTTATCTAATAATGTATCGACAAGTGTATCGAAACTAAAATCATATATGAAATGGAGATATTGCAGTATGAATACTTTTATAGTATTTTTAAAAATCCTGATAAATTTTCATAAAAAATTTTCCCTATTATTGTCAGTAGAGTACGTTAATAATGTTCAGATTGTTACGTAGAGAATTCAAAAAAATTTTTTGTAACCCATTTAATATAATTTACTTGGATAATACAGTCGAGCCTGCCTTGAATCTCTCGTCCTAAAACAGCGTTTGCAGCACATAATTTCCACTTGTGGTGGTTCAATACACGATAAGTGGCCAGCAAGTGCAAGATGATCAAATACAGCAGTCTGGGCAAACTTAATTTTAATTGCGGCTCGGTTCCATGGCTAAGGTTAACAACACCACGGTGTTAGCAGATGCTAAATAAAGCATTCAGTACATGTATAAATTAATTGGAAACTCCGATGGTTCGACTGATCTCTAAAAAAATCCTTATTCTGTTCCTTCGAAAATCGC